GAAAATTACATCAATTGTTTATTTTTTTTTTTGCAATTTATTAAAAAAATTCTCTGAATAAATTTTGAAAAATTATTTAATTTTTAAATTTTGCATAATTTTTTTGCAGAGAAAAATAGCATATTGCAACACTAACATACAAGAATTAAATATTTAATATTTAGGATATGTATTTTGTTTGAAAATTATTAATTTGATGGACATAATTATTTTGATATATATTTTATTTATTTAATGTCTATAATATCTTAAAATTCTATTATAAATGATTAGTTATTTTTGTTTTTTACAATTGATTTTAAGAAATATTCATAAGCAAATGTTTTAGTTATCTATTAAGAAGGATGTTAATTACAGATATTTTCCTATATAAAAATACTAAAAGTTATTTTATATTTATATTTTAACTTTTTTATAATTTAAATCTACTTATTTGATATTCCAAATAATATAGTATATAAAAAAATATTTTTTTAAAATTTCGATGTCTTTTCTATTATTGCACAATCGATTTTTTATATTCATTAACTAAAACTATAAATTAAAGTTAATCTACATTTTGATTTAACTTACTTTTTATCCTTTTTTAATTAAATAATTTTTAAAAAATTTTAAAAATTAAATCAAGAAATTGAATCAAAACTAAAGTTAATTATTGTTAGACATGGATAAACATTTCGTTTGTTAAATGGTATTCGGTCAAAGTCACCCCGTGAATTTGATATTTCGTTTTCCCCGGGCAATACGTCATCTGTCCCGCCTGTTCGCCACGCCGATGAGAGCGTGGGAGAGATACGACTCCGCAGCTTCGCCAATCGCGTAAGACCACGATCGCAATGGCGGCGTGGCTGGACGATTTTGTGTTATCGGATGGCTAGGTGTCGATCTGGTGGTGTGCGGAGTGCATCAGTGCCCTTATTTACAGCGTGACACATCGCACGCGGTGCAACCGATTTTTTTTCTCCCTCCGTCATGTATGGTCTTTTGATAGTGGCATTGCTAGATCTAACCCTCGAAGGTACGTTCCTAACCTTCTCTTTTTTTTTTTCCACCATTTTAACCCTCGAGTTTTTAACCCTCGTTCACGAACGGCTGATGACGGCTGTTTTTTTTCAGCGGTCGGAAGTGTCTCGCAGTCAGAAATCAACAAGCATCTGGAATACGGCAGGGAGTTTCTAGCAAAGGGCCAGCTCCAAGATGCGCTGTCGCATTATCACGCAGCCGTCGGTAGGTCGAATCGCAAATTCGCGCCTGACGATCTTTCATTATCAGCTGACTCTTTGCGACAATGGGGAAAAAATAGAGCTTTGAGAATATAAGAGTAAATTTCTTTCAGAGGGAGACCCAAGCAATTACTTGACGTACTACAAGAGGGGTACAGTTTATTTAGCATTAGGCAAGGCCAAATTTGCTCTACTCGATCTCGACAAGGTTTTGGAGCTGAAAGTGGATTTTACGGCAGCGCGATTGCAACGTGGTAATATTTTACTCAAGCAAGCTCACTTTGACGAGGCTGAAATTGACTTTCAAGATGTGGTACGCTATGTCTTTGTGTTTACATCATGTTTTTATGTATTTTATGTCTGTTCCAGTTTGCTCCCATACATGTACAACTTATACCACTTTTCTTTCAGCTAGCGTTAGAACCAAATAATAGGGATGCCTTGAATGCCTTAGATAGGTTATATCCAGCTAGAGAAGAAATGAAGTTAATCGATGTATATTTGTATAATGGCGATCATGTGGCAGCTGTGCAGCAGATAACTCGGCTCATTGAAGTATGCCCGTGGTCCTCTTATCTTAGAGAACGCAGGGCGGAAAGCCACGTTGTTCTTGGGGATTATATAAGCGCCATATCTGACATACGATCGACCACAAAATTGTTGTCTGATAATACAGAAGGTTTCTTTAAACTCTCGACGTGGCTTTATCGTCTTGGGGATGTTGATGAGGCATTAAAGTAAGTAATCAAATGTTAAAATAATTGCTACTACTTTTATTAAACGCAACACTAATCCGACAAATATTTAGGGAGATTCGAGAATGTTTAAAATTAGATCCAGACCATAAGCAATGTTTCCCCTTTTACAAAAAGATCAGGAAGATAAAGAAGTTGCTGCAAGATGCAGAGACAGCGGAGAATACAAAAGATTATGAGGCATGCATCGATTCAGCTCGACGTATACTAGTGCAAGAGAATGAGCCGCAAGTACGGTTTATGGCTTACCATCATCTCTGCAAATGTTATTCGGAAAATTCTGAAGCAACTCAGGCAATTAATAATTGTCAAGAGGCATTAAATATCAGGAGGGAACCAGGTGTATTATGCGACAGTGCGGAGGCATATCTCGCCGCAGAAATGTTTGATGATGGTAATTTATTCACACACACACACACACACACACACACACACATGTGCGTCTCATTTTATATAATGATTGTCAGATAACAAATGAATTTTTTTTTTAATAGCCATCAGAGAGTTTAAAAACGCGTTGGAGATAGATTCGAATTTCCAAAGAGCCAAACAAGGACTGCAAAAGGCGCAACAGCGGCAAAAACTATCGGAGTCACGAGATTATTACAAGATCTTGGGTGTCCCAAGAACGGCAAATAAACGAGACATCATTAAGGCTTATCGGAAAGCAGCGCAAAAATGGCATCCTGATAATTTCCAGGAGGGCGATGAGAAAAAACGCGCGCAGAAGAAATTTATTGACATCGCCGCGGCCAAGGAAGTTCTCACGGACGACGAGAAAAGGGCGAAATTTGATCAGGGCGAGGACCCTCTGGATCCGGAATCGGGCAGGCATCAGCAAGGCTTTAATCCCTTCCAGGAGTTCCATCATTTCCATGGTTCTCCCTTCCAATTCAAATTCCACTTCAATTAAACATCGAAAATCTCGTCGTGATAGAAAAATTACGTGATTCTCATAAATTCAAACACGCGCGTCAGTCGCTTCAATCGCGACAATCTTCACTTTACCCTAGCCTGTATTTCATTTCGCTACCTCGTCGGTGAAGATCGCACGTGTTTAACTCATTGGACGAACTCGGGAGATTTTATGTGTGTGAATTGTCGACGTGCTAAACACAGACCAGTGACCATGGTATCAAATAACACAATTATCTATGCACGTATTTATAAAGACGTAAAAGTAGATTTAATCGCCCGCACTAGTTCGTCAGCAAAAAATGTATAACGGTACATGTACAGTACTCTCTAGTATGTCCAGACTGAGCGATGAATAAAAATCTATTTCGGTTCATACATAAATATTCGTCGCATGTAATTTTCATCGTCGCATTATCAATCTGTATACTATTATTGGTAAAATCGATTTTGCGTGTTGCGATACGAAGGGAGATGTACAGTGATCATCACACTGCCACTGATTGCTTCAGCGGCTGTTCATTTTTAACTTCAAAATATGCGACAATTAAATTGAATAAGTTGAATAAGAGACATTATGCCTTTATCGAGTACGATATTGAGCCGATATATTTATATCATTACTTTACGCGTATAAAATTCGTACTCGATAATGTTCAAACAGTGTGTAAAATAACGCTGTGCGCTTGTCATGTTTGCATGAGTGTGAGTCAGACTTTCATGTAAATACTGTATTTCTGATATTTGTTTAAAAATATATTTGAATAATTTATACAGATATATCGAAGGCATTATTAATGTAAAGAGAAGAAAAGAAAGCGATAACTCTTTTCAATAATAAAATATCAAATTTCTATCGTTTGTTTAGACACTGAAGTCCTCTTTCTCTTTTTCTTAGTACTTTTTCTTAGCTTAAACGTACTTTTTATTTTTTCAGTTTATCAGGCGGTTTCATTTTTTTTTTCGTTTGTCTAATTTCTTCCGCTCTCTCAATCGTTGTCGCAGATCTTTATACTCTCCTAATTCTTGTCTCACCATGTGACCTCTCCATATCGATTGGATACGTGTCGCGGCTTTATTTAACTTTTCTTCTTTATTTCTTTCTTCGATAAATTTCTGTCGTTTGTCCATTAAATCGCGCATTTTCTCCATCTCCAAGTTCTGTTCTTCTATCAAGCTCTATTGAATCGAAAGCAACTTCGTGAGTTATTTAACAGCTCATGATATCATTTGTATCATATTATGTTTAAGCAATTGTTATCTTATTTTCTTTTTCTTTGTTTTATTTTCTTTTTGTATGTTTATATCTATTATATCTTTATCTTCAATTAAATATATATCTGTATTATATGAATTATATTATTATTTATTTATTTATTTATTCTACTGTTCATTTTTCACGCTGAAAATACTTTTGGATATACTTGTAAATCATCGATTTCCTGTTGTTTTTCCACAATCTCTTTATTGTATTTTTTCGTCCACATATCTATCTGTTCTTCCTTTTCTTTGATATTTGTCTCTAAAAAGGCGATCGTTTCCGCTGAAACAATTTGCTCTGCATTGTATTCTTTCGAATACTCGTTTATTTTATTCAACATATCTTTCTTTTCTCGATGCAACTTAAGTTCTTGCTGTTCCAATCTAGCCTTTGCCCATTTTTCTGCATAGCCTGAATAGAATATATTCGATCAGAATACTGAAAAGGTCATTTACGTGAATATACGTTACTCATTTTTCCGTTATTTAAGAATATCGCGTAGTCGATTTGCGCATCGCTTTCCTGGGCAAGTTCTATCGTCCTCTTCCTATCTTCCTCGTTTGCTTTTTTGTCAGATTCTAGTAATTCTCGAAGTTCTTTAACTTGACTGAGCCACGTTTCAGCGCTCTCTTCGAGATTACGTTCGCCTTCCTGTTTCTTTGCGATATTATCATTTTCTTCTCGTAGACTGTCAAATGTCCCCCGACTCTTTATTTCATGGAGAACCCTTTCGAGAACTTTATACACGTAATTCCTAAATGCACATTTATTGAAACGAACATATCTTATTCTCAAGAGTTCTGATTTTTACAATGATCTAGGTAGTGGGAGGATAAAACATAAACCGGAATTCTTCTCGTGGAGATTTTAATGGAAGCAAAGTTTTGAAAAAAATATCTTGAAATAATGCATCATATATTTTATAAGGATATATTTTAAGGAATTTTATATATTTACTAGTTATATCAAAGCAATGGAATATAGAGTATACTTTTACGTTATAGTAGTATTTTATGTTAGAGTAAAACGTTTAATTTTTGACGTGCATCTTCGCGCACCTGTCTCTTTGCAGTTTTTCAGCCTCCGTAGATATAATTGACAGGCCCATATCTCTTTTGAAGATTATTCTAGGCTCGTCAGGTACCCCGTATGTCTCATCGATCGTTTTGAACGTATCGTCCCAGCGTGGATCGACGTTGGCCGGTATCATGAATTCGATTATGGCGAGCTGATCTAGACATTCTTGGAGAATAGAGGATATAGCGGCTGCTTCTAGCGGTGTGAACGAGTCTGGCGGAACTTTCATTTCCATATTTTGCACCTCGCGTATATTTTCTATTTTCGATGGCAGTGAGTCTATCGGTGATTTCGAAAGTTCTGAAGAATCTGTTTCAGGATTGAGATACGTCGGCTATAATAATAATTTAAAGAAATTATTATTATTATTTAATCTACAATTTATGCTAGATTTCTGAATAAAATTACCTATAATTTTTTTATGCTAATATAATATTTAATGCTTATTTTAATATACACTTTATAATCTATATGTGTTTTAATTCTTCAAATATTTTTATTAAAACAAAGTTATAATTAAAACATATGTAAGATAACTAATACATATCTATAAAGCTATCTTTAATACGTATTATTATATAAGATTATTTTATTTATAATTGAATTTTTTCTTTAAATTACATATATCATAATGACATTATCTTACTTTTTTCGTAGTATCTATCTTTGTGATTTTATTTAAATTTTGGATGAATTTAGTGGCCGCTTTTTCCATTTTCTCGAGAATATGTTCGTTTGTTGACATATTATCGATGATAGTTTATCTAGCGCAATATTTTTTTTGAGTTGCTTTTATATTATGAAATTTTTCCAATTCGTTTGTCATATCGAAATATGCTAAAATAGCAAATGATAGATTGAAAATACAAGAATATCGATTAATACAATTATATTATTCTATAGAAAGTGTATGTATTTAAATATTAGCATATGCTATGGCTTATGATCATGGCTTATATCATATTTTATTGTGCAAAAATTATTCAATTAATTGCTTAAAAGATAGATCAAGAAAAATATGCAATGATTCCTATTAAAAATTTAACTATCTAACGATAACTACGAACCTTATTATTATTATTTCTTTATTTTTTATCTTCGATTAGAATATCTGCAAGAAATATACAGAACGCGAGTGCACAAAATATTGGCACTGAAATTTTTGGCTTGATGTCCTCCCAAGTCATATTGCTGAATTTTCGTTACGTCAAACTTGTGAAAATTTGAAAAAATATGAAAATAATCTAGAAACAAGGAAAGATCAAGTATGAATACATATGACAAAGGTCAAAAGAGGTATTTTTTTCTGTGTTATTATTTACATAGAATCATCAATTGTATTGAAAATAAAGATATATATTTAACAACAATAATACATTTTGTCTACAAACATACTGAATAAATATATTTTAGTATTTTCTATTTAATAATATTTTTGAACACACGATTAGCTTAATAACTATTTTTGATAATATAGTGAATGTTAAATCATTCTGTAAAGAGTGTAATAAATAAATCCCTTTTACATCAATAGATTTAAATTTTAAGGAATTGTTTTAATGTATATTTTCATGTAAAAGGAAATAAAATTACGAGGAACTTGGATATAGAAAGTTAATGATAACAACCAAATTGCAATTTTCAATTTCATCTGTTTAAAATTCTGTTTAAAAATTGAATTGCGTGCACGTGATACGTTTGTACTTATGTTTATGTAGATATATAATACATTATAATACATTATTTACGAGTATATTACAAACTCATTTTTAATTTATTATGCTTTAACAGTTAATATTAATCTCATTGCAAAAATAATTGAGTATCGACATGTTCTAAATTGGCATCTTCTTCAAAATTGTATTTCATTCAAATTGTGCAAAAGCGCACATTCTCTCTTCTTTTTTACATAATTTACAAAAAATAAATTCTAATTAGTAATTCTTAAAATATTCAACGAGTTTCACAGCTCAGTATTACTTCGCATATAGCTGCTCGACGTTCACACTGTTTTCAATGCATTTTACTTCTTATAACGCGATATCACTTCATTTTACATAATACAGCTATTGTCATGGTAATAATAATAACGTAAGAGCCTTCGTGATCTATATGCCCGTCCGTTTGATTGTGTTTACATACATTACATTTCAATGCAGATTACCTGTAACTACGCAGCTGTAAAAGCGTATTAACGTTGATCGATATAGAATTACATTGCATGTACATATAAATTTTGTATGCATATCTAATAATAAGGCGGAAGTATTTTGCGCGGAACTAATAATTCTCTATTTTCATCTTCTATTCTCAATTTTTACATGACATCAAATATATCAGCGCTTCTCTTATAATCGAAAATACTATTTCCTAACGCGAAATATTTTGATTAAACGCTCCAAAAACGCTAAGCATTAAAAAATAACAAATATTTCTAAAAATATGGACACATTATACAAAGTAACTAGTATATTCGTGAGGCATTACACCTCTTCTAGGATAAAACGTATGACTTGTGGAATATTCTAAAAGATTCGTGATCGAGCTCATGTAAATATCGGCGAATCTAAATAGTCTTCTGGAGAAATAAGTCGGATTGTGATATGTTCTGAATACCGAGCCGAATTGTTCGTTGAAAACAGATTTAATTTCATTTCTTAATTGATCCCGTTCTCTCATCCATTCGTCCAGCTCATCTTGCACTTCAGGTCCTTCGTAATCCTGGTGTTCTTCAATTAGACCGGTTAACATCTGGAGCCAGTTTGCGTTCTCTTTGAACTTTGGATCGTTCAAAGTTTCGATTTCGTGCTATAATGTTATATACAACTCTTTATGCATTATATATTATATTTATGTCGAGTTTACTGCATCTCAATATTCTTTTTTGAAGTAATTTAATTTTGTACAGAAAAGATCGATAGGAATTTCAAATTACCGTCAATTCTTTTATTATCGCTCCTGTTCGCCAGCCATGCTCCAAGGTTACATCTGCCAAGTCACTGTATGGATGATCGCCAAAGTATAATACTTGATGTCCCCGCCATCCGGTCATATCTTGCAATTGTTTAACTGTTCCCTAAAATGTTTCGCGTTTAGCAAATATATATTTCGCATAATTACAAATGTATATATATTATCTGTAATTTTCGAAATGAAGATCAAAATAGAGAACTACCTCGAGATATATAACACCCTTGTTCAGTTTAGTGACTCGATCCCATAATTGTGTTTGTTTAGCTTCGTCGTAGATTCTTAAGGGGCGTGTTTCTTCAGTGAAAAATCTTGGTTTTCTCGCTTGAACGATCACCACATCAAAGTAATCCTTCCAATTTTCACCGACCAAAAACTTCATACCATTGTTACTGAAAAAAAATCACAACTGTTTAGTAATTATTATATACATATGTGAATAATATACAATTATACAATTATATAATATATACAATTTAATTTAAATTAAGATTGATAATACTGAGAAACGTACACAAAGTGAAAAGGACTGTTTGTAACTAGAAACGTCTTTTTGCCAACTTTTTGAAGTCGATCGAAAAATCTCCTCAAATCTTTATTCTGTTCCAGATATTCGGACACATTTTCTACTACTAACTGATGCATTATAGGATGGCAGCTTTGCACGGAATTCTATAAATATCATATAAAATACATTCATTACAAAAATAGGATTATATCGATTATATTTATATTTCTATTTTGATTATTTACTTTAACGTCTCTGAATAGTATTTCCGGATGGTAATCGATGTGATTTTGTAAAAAATATTCCGTAACGTTACACAATAGACCCATTTCCGGTACCGAAAACAAATCGGCTAATTGAACCATTTTCGATCGATGTAAAGCATCCTAAGAAGAGAAATAAATATCAGAAAGTCTAGAATTTATTCAAAGATTTTCAAGTACATCGCAGATATAAATATACTTGCCTTCTATACATCATGATCGAGGCAATTTATCGTCAAACACACACGTTGATACATGCAAAAACAGAGAAGGTCGAACATTTAATGTACTAAAGATTTTTCTTTATAAATGGATATGAACATGAGTATGAACATATCGTTGCTATTTGCTGCAGTATAAAAAAGAAGAGAAATTTTAAGAAAAAAATATCTTTTTGATGTTTAGAAAAATAATCAGAAGCAATTAGCACAGCTGCTTTATTACACAATAGATCGTATAACTAATGTGTGAAATATTTTATATTTCGCTTTTTAAACAAAGCATACATGTGTGTCTGTTCTCGTGTTAAAAAAAAGAAATATGCATCAAGCTTTCATGCTATGCGCCACTGGACTTCCTTTCTTTTTTTATCAGAATTTTTCGATGACAAACTTACGTGGGAGTGTTTATGGGGTGCCTCCACATAAGCTATCGGTATTATCCTGTTCTTGTAGATTCGTAAGACCTCCTCGTCGGGCACGGGATGCAAGCCCCGGTAAACGGCGCCCAATTGAATTTGTAAGAAACTGTCGAGCTTCAGCAGAAGACCCTTTTCGATGTCGTAATGGAGGCCGCGGACGGCGAAATTTTCTCTGTACTCCAGATTGGCAATTTCCTCTGGATACTGGCATAATTAAACGAGTTTGAGCGAACTTTGAAAGATGAAATTCTAATCGGTGGTAATTGTTCTTTGATTTTAGGAGAGAAATTTTGTTGAGTGGCTGTCTTTTAAGACAAGGCTAACTCAAGCTTTGCATTTTAGTTTTATATTTAATTTTTACAACTTCCATCATGTTTTTTAATAAAATAGATTAATTATTAATTATGAATTATTTAATATTTATAATGTAGTAAATTTATCATATAATATTATAACTGACTGATACAAAGACAATTGTAAAGGTAAAGAAGAAAAAAAATTTCAATCAGAAATATATGAAATATATATCATCGATTTGATTATGATAAACGAATTTAATGCAAAATAAAGACCTTATATCTTTTAATGAGCATGTCACGTCCCAGATTGTAAAGCAAATAGTCCATGGAGGGTTTGTAACAGGCCAGTGTGTAATCATAATCAAATCCGTAGACTTGGACTTCCTTTAAGTCGAGCTCGTTGCAAGCAAACACGCCCTTGGGATTTACATCTTGCGGCAGTTTCTTCGCTAGAGAATTACAACAATAGAGATTAATTCGGAAACTCTGAAAATGAGACGCATGTTGATTTTCACGGTTGGTCCGTAATGCATCTAATTCAACGTGACAGAAGTGACGAATCTGCCGTATGACGGAGAGGAGCTGTTCTGCGTTTCTTCGAGGATTGAAAGCGGATATCGGTATCGCTCGCAAGCGATCTTTAATTTCGCGCGAGCTCTCGAGTTCTCAATTGGAATGAACTACAGTTATTACTCCTCCAGACCTAACTGGCGATCAATTCGGTTGCGTCGGTGCTCCCGTTTCATGTTCTATAGATGCGCGTATACAGGCCGATTTTCACTGTCCTAGATTTTTCTGCCCGACACATTCGTCCTTCCCTCCCTCCCTCCATCGTGGCCGTGAGAGACCGATCTCCGCGATCTAAAATCTAATCCGTGCACTCGCTCTTCGCGCCCTCCTTACGCCACTTTTCGTCAGTGGATTAATTAAGACGAACGCGGGAATGTCGGGCGAGACGCCGAGAGATCCTCGCGGCGTGTGGATCCTCCTTATCAATAATTTATATACCCTCCTCGTTTGCTCGCTCGAATAAAACTTGCTCGACGTGGCATCAGCACGTAGTTATCTCTCTGACGAGTCGATCAAGCGATGATAAATACGACTCGTAAGCTTATGTCAACGTAAGCCGAAGAGTTGCAGACATTTAATACATGAAATTTCAAAGAATTGCAATGCATTCTATCATGTTCTTCGTGCCTGCAGCACATATGAATGTCTATCAGATCGTTTCTGTTTCTCTTGACAATGTTATTTGTTTCTTCTCGAATCTCATTGTTCTGCTCGAATTTATTAGATGACGATTACTTGTATGATCATTTCTAAAGAGTATGTTGATATATATATATATATATTTTAACAATATTTTTATGTATATAAAATTTTAAAATATATATTAACATATTATAATTAAATAATTTTTTTTTGTTTATACATGATAAATTTAATTTTAGATGTGACTATCGCGAAACGACTATCTTAAAAAGAATTGTCATAAAGATGCGGATATTTAAAGTTTTTCGCGAGTAACAGGAAGAGGTTAATTGTGCACGCGAATGGCGCGTGTATCTGAATGCTTGGCGACGAGCCCAGACAGATGTCAACGATGAATTTTCCTCATCGTCACCGTATACGTAATCGCATGTGGTTCTCCGCGTCAAAAGTCTGCGTCCAACAGACTCCTTCTGTCGAATCCCGTCGCATCCCCTCGCGGAGGGAGGTAAGGATGATCAATCGGTGTGCCAATAATTCGCTCGGCATGCGCCAAGGTGTCAAGGTCGCGTGCGCGCGAATGTTCTATCGATATATCGAATGCATGAGGGACACGCGCGGAATCTCCGCGCATGCAAGAGAGACAGACATATATAAACATATTATACACACATACACACGTGCAACATACAGACGCCGCGAATGTCGCGATTGACGCGACACTGACATGGCCGCGGAGAGCCACGAAACTTTGGATACTCACACTTGCACTTCTCAAGCATTCTCAAGTAATTCTCGCGCATAACCGCGCGCGACACCTGACCGCGATTGAGGGCGCGATCGCCCACCGTGCGTCTTGACGTCCCATGCGTGGCGGCGACTCCACGGGGACGCGCGAACGGCCAAGTTTCGAGAAGGCGGCTCGATGTCGCGACGATTCTCGCGTGGAACATCACGGACGATTGGCGGGCGCACAACGCAGGCTACCACGGTGCCGCGCAGCGATTGGCTGCACCGCGCGGGCGGCTGATTTGAATCGAGGCGCCGCCACTGATCTCGCGCCTTTGCTTCGTCCACGAATTTAGTGAATTGCTAGACGCGACTGCTAGAAGTTTTCGACGAGACACGGGCAAAGCCGAACGTTTGGTCTCGCCATTCGTCCGCTTGTTCGACGCACGAAACACGATTGGTTTATCGCTTCTATACTTGTTCGCTATTGGCTGAGTATCATTCTCGTTGGATGTCGTTCTTGTCGCATCCGTCCAGCCGTTCATTACGTTTATGCCATCAGTGCCATTAGCGCGGTATTCCGTATGTTTTGCGCGATTGCGCGCGATATATAGATCATTTATATAATAGAAGGGTTATTTGAGCGTGTTAACTGCTATTTATACTCAATGATTTTAAATGGGATGTACTGTCCACAATAACGACGTTGTTTTGAAATGGCAGCGTCTCTTGCGGGAATACGAAGATTTCAAGGTAACTTCTACGAATTACGGTATAATGTTAAAAAACATGTAAAAAAAAACTTTGAAATCTTGAGCAATTTTTATATTAATGAATACTTTGATTATCTTTCTATATCAACTTTGATTATCTTTCTATCAAAAGAAAAATCCTAAAAAGACTTTAAAAAAATAAAAAGACTTTAATGCTATGTAAGAAATTTATTAAAAGTCTCTAATTACATATAAATTACATAAATGTGTGTGTGTGTGTGTGTGTGTGTGTGTGTGTGTGTGTGTGTGTGTGTGTGTATGAAATATATAATATATATGAAATATATATGTACATATTATATGTGTATTTCTTAGATATTTATTATATATTAGAATGTAATTTCAGTACGTACTAACAAAAAAGAAAAAAACTTGTGTATATATATTCAATACATTTTTGTATGATGTATATTTCGAATATGAAAAATATCATGATATTCTTAAAAAATTCTCAAAATTTATATATACTATTAGAAAAAATGTGAGATCACTTTGTATGTTTATTTGTAAAATGATTTTGAAAAGTTTATTTGAGCACTCTTTGGATCTGCAATTTTTGTCACAAATTTTAGGATAGAATTCTCTTTATAATTTCACATTTGGCGTATAAATACATTATTTATGTATATGTTTATTATTATGTATTAATTATTATATATTATTATACTAATTACTACTTTACTTAAATTGTTTATTATATTATTTATTAATAATGTACATGCGATATACATGTATAAATTTTAATTTTTAACTGCTTTTTTTACGACTAAATTATAAACGGATTTCTATTTGAATTCTGATATAAAAAATGAGCTTAAATGATGGACATTTTAAATGACATGTCATAGTTTGCATCATTGATGAAACTACAAATATTTTTATTGAGAAAAAATATCCTATCAATCATCGATACCACCATATTATAATGACGATATAATGACGACATGACAATTTTTATTCATCTCTACATGTTTTTTTCTTTTCTAAATTCGCTATCTCCCTTTCTGAATATGCAACTTAAATACATGTTCAAACATTCTACATTCGGAAATGCTCCGTTTCCTTTATTTCACTTCCGAGTCGCACAGCATAGTCAATTGCAAGCGATTAAAATACTTGTGCGATCCATCGTAATTATCTGACGTTAAACGACTCTAATTAATGTCGGCGGATACGAGACGAACGTTCGAAACGGCCAGCCCATCTTTAGAAAGTCATCGTATCCGCCCCGCGGTATCTGTATTTTGAGGCGATTGTTTCCTTCCTTCGTTGCTTAATATTTTCCTCATGTTAGGTGTCCGATAAATGGGTTAATTGCCGCACACGAGCCTCCTACCTCGACTGCATGATTTGAATGCAGCCGATCCCATGAGTTTCTCCACGAGAGGTAAATACCCGCGGCGCATTATATTATGCACCTTCCAAAGTGTTCCCGACGTGCAGGCGTACCAGGGATATTCCGGGATGGCTTAACACACTTGGTACTCGATTCTAATCGCGAGATTTTCACGATTTGCACCAACTGGTACGAGAGACCCCCCCGGAGACCGATTCTGCACACCTTCATATTTAATAGGCGGCTACGACGAACCTGTCGATGTGTTATGATTAACGATCGTCGTGTCGTTCGTCCGTTCCTTCGGTCCATTTCCTGCATCCGCTACAGTCCCCGATACTGTCGTTATCGGTTTTATTTTGCATGAAAGAAAATCAGAATAGAAAAGGGCAGATAATTGGTTTATCGCCAAGATTATAAGAAGTAATCGAGAACGAGGGGCAAACAATCGGAGCAATTGAAAAAATAATTTATAATCATTGCAATTGTGTGTTTTGTAGCGATTCTTTTTCACGACATGTTTTATGAAGATACAGATATTACATATCGCAAGTCGAAAATAAACACTCTGATAAATATGAAAAATCTTCTGCATCGATCCGATATTTTGTGATAAGAGATTTATTTTTTATAATTGTGCATACTAGTGCATACTTATTTAAAATGAAATAGATATATGTTTAAAGTTTAGTGAAAGTGAGAAAAAAATTCTAGTCCGGTGCAGCAATAAAAAATAGATCTAAGGTTTCCTTTCTTGAATTTTTGATCTTCATCGATACCGCAAGTGTCGTCCATGATTCACACTTCATCGATGTAATTAAAGGAAAAAAATACCGCGTCATGATGCTAATAATCTCCATCTCGAATAACAACGTCTTGCGATATCCAAAAATGATTATTCACTGCTCCCTGATTGATGGATGTCGAAAGCTACAATTTTCTAACATCTCCATGAGTATAACCATTCTGCTGCCACTTGGCACGCGACCTCGTTGCCTTAATCTAACCGTAGTCTTCGATCTCCTCGGTCGTCATACTCTTCTGATAATGTGCTCGATAGTATATATCACGTCTTTCCCAATATTATCTCGAACGATCGATTATCTTTCTTCGGCACAAAGTATGATGTACCTATTATGAATTATATCGTGCCATTACGTAATATTTTCCCCGCGTTAATCCCTAACAATGTATATGTTGCCGATGCTCCGTGTGATAAACAAGCGACGCGAAAATGTAATACATTTAACACACAATGTAACATTAAACGCACACGTATATACATACGATGTCTCTCTTACTGATTTAAAAAAGTGACATTTGAATAAATCATTTTACGTTATTATAAACGCGCATTGTAATAACGTAAAATTGCGCGTACGTGAATATCCTCTTTTTCATGGGGAATCCCCAAAATGACGCGGATAAAATTACGAATTTTTGCGAGCGGCTTTTCGAAACTATTGGTCGTCGAATTTGTACTTCAAATATACAATCCCGCGCGGGACAATCGAATTTTACATTGCAACAAAGTATATACGTATCGCCGCGATATTCTCTGTAAAATTTCCCACACGTATCCCGGAATATCCCCGAGGCGCTGAATACACATCCCCCTGCCTGTATATTGACAGTTTCAACAGAATCAACGTTGCGCGCGTTGTTGCTGCTGAAGGATCGTCCGTACGGTGATCGCGAATTTTATATCCGTAAATATTGTGTCATGTTAAAAATAGCAGCTTGACTTTCTACTCCTTTACGGAGGGCAAGTTTTATGACTTGCGACTTTCTACGTAATTCGGCGCCTCTCACTGTGACTCCACCCTTTCGCCGATTATCATCGTTATTTCCGATTAATGTTAGTGTTTTTTTCGACAATCTGAATCGCTATCTCATTAAACTCTCACTAAACGATTTATAGATACACGATTAGATTATATTAATTTCTTCGAGACTTTGAAAAAAAAAAAAGAACCGTATTGTTTCGAGGTAGAAAAAACGTTCGTCTCTTGTGAGACGCCTAAACAAAATTTCTCGAACGACTTACGAATCGATGACTTACGACCGTTATCGATGAGTCTTTTTTATCGAATTATCTACGTACGCTTGTTATATTATGGCTACTATCACATAGATATAACGAGTTATGCGTGCGGGATATGTTAATTAACTGATAATTACGATCGCAACCTGCATTAATCTGTTACTTAATGGTTCACACTAATTTTAGCTCGCGGCTATTAAATCGATCCATTTCTTCGCGGATCGTCGAATTTGCAGCAGTACTCGGTACAGTAACGTGTCCATTAATTAAATGGGAAATAAACGAACGAGAGTCATGAATAAGATTCGGCCAACTGGTTTAAGTTAACTTTTGCCTGACTTTTTCTTTTCTTTTCACAAAATGTGAATTACCCTATGTGATAGGCCTAATTTCTTATAGAGATACTTTATTGCACTTATTTACTTTTCTGATTAAATTCGCTTATTATAAATAAAATATCCTTTTTAAATTAAACAAAGAGCAACGATATGTCATTGGGATTTAATCTGCTTTTGGATCTGTTCTTGATTGTAATTTTAAGAAAGAAAAAAAAAACAATCAAGAAACATAATCGTTTCGTTTATGCGTATAATGTAATTGTATAATGTAATTGGAACGTTCAGCCGGAAAACAAGTTTTTAAGATTTTCTCATGAATGCGCGAGTCGTGTGTGCACTTCCTGCGTAAACGAAGCCGCGTTTCCCATCACACGGATGACTTCCTGACTCGGTTTTTATCGCTCGCGTCTCTCAGCTCCTTATAGTTTTCTAACAATCGCTCCTATTTGTCTTCCCGTAGACAAAGGTTAATTGCAATCAGAGGGACCGTGTTAACGATGTCTGGAGCCTTCATGCTCACGGAGAAACGAATTTCTCCATTTGCGACAATGAAATGTAATCTAAGGCTAATGCAAAAGCGATTTAAAGCAAATATGGTTTTGATTTAATCAGCGATAATTGGTCAAAAACAGAAACGCTCTGTACATGTGATATAAATACCGAGAGTTTCGAATTAAAAAAAAGGGGGGGGGAGGGAGAAAGAGAAAATCGAAAAACCCGTGAAAGATAAAAA